CACTGCGCAAGGGGCAACCTGCGCCGTAGCTCCCAACGACGGGGGCTCGAGCCAGGACCGAGAAACCTGCACCTGTGGGGCGTCGGAACGAACTTGGATGAGAATCGCTAGAATGTATTTAAAACGGCAGTCTGCACGCGCAGCGAATTATGTATTTCCCGATACAGTACGTTATCGACGCTCAACCGTACAGGACTATAGTTCGGTGCGATTTTAAAATCCCTAGCAAAATATAGATCCTACGACAGTTATCGGAAGGGTCATAAGTAATGCATGTTTGAGCCAAGTCACGGGACTCATCGCGATCTGCGACTCGCCAACAAGTTTGCTCCGGTTATGGCAAGAATGTGAATGACCTGCGGGGTTTTTTTTTTTAACTTTGTTCCTAAGCAATGCCAAACTGCCCGACAACACGACACGCAGAATACAATGATGCAGTAGCTTCAAGGTCAGTCGCAAGCCCCACAAAACTGAACTGAATGTCCAGCTTGCCGGGCGAGTATTCTGATGTGTGATGTTTATAGGCAGCCTGACACGATGGGCCAAATGGAGCTGGTCTCTTCCTCCACACAACCCTCTGGCACAATTCTACAAATGTAGTAATAGAAATCACTCTCTGTCACGGGCGAGTCATTTGCCCGTGTTAACGGGAACACGCCTCGCCAATAAAACGCTATGCCAATCGTGCATTTTCCTTAAACTGTAGCATCACAACGCCTGATATGTGTGTCATAGCCACTGCGTCCGAACGATACACAGGGCGAGTTGGTTCATTTCGATATTTTCCAAAAAAAAAAAACAAAAAAAAACACGCTTACTGAAAGGTCACAAGCTGACGAAAACGCAGATTTACAGGGCACGCACTTGGTCCCGTAAGCCTGTAGGCTCAGGTCTTGCATCATTCGTTGTGATCTTTTAAAGGCAGCGCATTGTTTGAATACAATACTACGTCGGTTTACCAGTTTGTAAGAAAAAAAAAAAGATTGGACATGTAAGGATGGTAATCTAATTTCTCTTCACCACACATTTCATATTGCACCTTCAATACACCGCGGAACAGGACACGAGGGGCTGGTACTGCCAAGACGATGGAGTACGCACAGTCGCTCTTTTTTTTTTTTTTTTAAAGAGTGAACACGGCAGCGCGCGGCTTTCGGAGCTCCCAGCGCTGTTGAACGGCGGCAGTGCCCAAAGTCTTCTTCACTCGTGCCTAAAAGGCAAGGCACGAGTGAAAACTGAACCCTTCGCTGCAAAGTACGAATCCTCAACCTCACTATTTCCGGGGAAAAAAAAATAAATCTAGTTTTTGGTTCGTTAGGTATTACGGCTTGGTGGCGCTAGCCACCGCCCGATCCAAAGGGTACAGCCATATCCATCCATCCAGCGAAAAAGCATCGCGCATGCGCAGTACGGCCGGGCTGCTGCCGTCGCGCGCGTTGCGTCAGGCGAGCTAGCCCGTGTCGTCTGCTACGGGCGCACGGCACTGTATAGAAGCTGTATGCCTCAAAATGGCAGCAATGTATATAAACTTTCAAATACGCTACGCGCGATTCACAAATTGACCTGAAAATACATTACGTTTTGATGGCGTTTTCTGGGATCATCATCGATCTGCATAACTGCGCACTTTCTCCGTTCCGTGTTCCAGCACGACATGGCGCTGGTGGACCCTGTAAACGTTTTTAACGAGCGCATAGAAAATCGCGGTGATGTTCAGGAAAGCGCGAGTATTTACGAAAATGTGGACAATATACATGAAATCGGCTATGGTGCGACAACCGGTTTACGCGGCGACTACACGCGAACATACCCAAGGTTCGTCAAGAGTGGCAGAACCTTCGGGCGCATCGTATAACTTTGTCCTATAGTGCTGTAGTCGTCACTATACCTTCCAGAATGGCAGTAGCACCTTTCGTTTTTCAAAAGGGACAATACAAAAATACCGAGTGAACCAACATTGAGTGAAGCTATTACAGATTACTGATACACCGTTATTCAACGTAACCAGTCTTTCGTGAAAGTGTACCAAATAACAGTGCTGGTATTTTCGTTCCTTTTGCCTGTTCGTTGTACGACTACAGGAACGCAGAAAAAAAAAAAGGGCCGAAAACCAAGCATAAAGACAAGCCCGTTTGAACTGAAAGCACCCTAATTTCAGTTTCGATCATAATACGGGCACCAGGGAGGCCGAAAATCAGCTAGCAAACGACACACGAGCGCTGCTGCGGTGACGTGAAGCTACCCTCCTCGCGACTGCGCACAGATACTTTGACGTGGCGCCGTTCTCCTGTGTTCGCTGTCAAAAAGATTGGGACTGTACATAGCCATATGCTATATCACGAGTGCATGCATGTGCGCGAAATGTGGTGCATTCGGCTAAGCGAGCCCACTTCGATTCGTACAAAGAAGAAATATCGACGCTATAGAATTTAAGAGAATGGCCGCCTGGCTGAGTTGTTTACGAAGCGAAAATTATTTCCACAGCGGGCTTCGTTAGCAAAACTAATCTTTCGGTCACTATAGACGGCAGATGACAAGCTTGGTTTGCCCATTCAAAACGGCAACGCCTTCTATAAGCGGCATTTCGCTGTTCCGAAAGAAACAAGAGTTAGCTCCGTTTGGCGAAAATAAAGACAACTTTAGGTTGAAATCGCTCTTCATAAGAAAATCCTTGCATTCAAACCGATCGCGACATGGCCTGAGCGCGGGCTCCTACACGTGTAAAAAAAAAAAAAAATGTAAAATTGAGGGCAAATGAATTGAGCGTAAGACAGCAACGTGAAGAAAAGTTCATCGCCGGGGAAATTACGGTCTCCCAAAGCACGCATAGGCCCATAAGGTACAAGAAAGCTTCACAATCAATTCGAAAAAAAAAAAAAATAGCAGCATATCGACGACGAGTGAATGATGGCTGGGAGAAGCGTCTGTCTCGTTTACGCCTGACAAGGTTAGACGATAAGAGGTGCTTCGCCCCTAAAAATGAAGTTCACACGCGATGCTTTGAGAAACGTGTATAACCTTCTTGTGAAGATTGGCGCTACGATTGGGATACCGGGTGCTTGAAGGTATAGCCTTATTGCTATGCAACATATTTTAAAGCTGCTGTGTGCATGTACATTATGCGTACTCTCGTCCTACATCAGTAGAGACATCGTAGCGACAGTCATGGTGTTACGCGTTGTGAACTTCAAGAAAGATTCACTCGCATGAAGATTCATAACGTGTGGTCAGTCAACAAGGATTCAACGTGAAAACACGTTGGTACAGAGTGTAATGTTCTGAATAATACGGTATCCAGTTTCAGTAACAGTTCACAAACGAAAAATTGAGAGAGAGAAGTCGCACGAATCCACAGTGAATTTCTCATCTTCGTAGCACTTTAACCTGCCCAACGGTATCGCGAACAAAATTATCGCAACACGATCGAATAAATAGCCAGGAATCGTTATGCGAAACAGAAACGTAGCGTAATTTTAAATTAGTAGTCGCAAGGCGGTTGCAAAATCAACCAATGCTGAATCTTGTTATTTAACGACAGGGGCAAACAAGATCACACGAAAGTAACCAGCAGATCAGCAAGGAACAAAAATAAACTGCCACATGCATATGCAGCTCAAGCGCAGGTGGCAGAAGACGAGTGTAGCATGCACGCACACAAGGCCAACCAACAAACGTGGCCCGATCCCGGGAAACAGTCGTCCCAGTGAATGCACTCGTGCAGCTACAGTACCGCACATTCGATATCCAGCCGCCTTCTCGCCCCACAAGGGCCTCACAACGAAGCAGTTGACCCCATTCCAGAAATTTCCACATGCACGCCCACGGAGCGACCAGCAAAAGGGAAGGAACACCCCGCAATTATTCTGAGCCCGCATGCGCAGCATGATACGGGGCGAGTACGTTAATTTTATGGTTTCTAAAGCGCGTTATCTCAGCTGATCGCGCCATTCCAATACAATTCCACAAACCTTATCGTAACCCCCCGCCCCCCTTTTCCCCTACAATCGGTTGCGAACTGCGCTTTCGAAATAAGTACCGTCTGCGCGCACCACAAGTAGGAAAATACGATACTGGCAAAATACTATATCATCATGCACACTCAAGAATGGTACTACATGTCATCGTTGTGCAGATAAGCTTGCACGCATATTCTCGGGGGAAAAAAAAAAAAAAAAAAACCTCTAGATGCGATCTTGGACGTGGAACTGTGAAACTGCACAAACTAACACAGCAATGACGCGGGGAGGTCGCTGCTGCTACTAGCTTGATGCGAGAGCACAACCCTCTTCAAAATGTGTCCCACCGATAGATACGCACCTGCCATGGCGTGAAACCAAATGCACCACCATTCCAGAAAGCAAGCGCCTACCAGAAACCGCTGGTGGTGCTTTCCGTAATCATCGCGGCGACGCCGAATCCAATTTAGAGAACACGCAAGCACGTCGTACAGCGGGGTGCACTATACCAATACTACTCCAGAGAAACCCGTAAATCCAGAAACCCGAAAAGGAAACTGCACTGCATAGGCACACGGAGCGTTTTGCCGCCATTTCTGAAAACGTAAACAGTTCGCGAGCACTCGCCGCAAACGCTGCTGCAGTTCGCTCGTGCACTGTACAACTGCAGCAGCGCTAGCAGTGCGACACGTCGCGATAAAGTAAAGCACAAATATTTTAAAAGCTTGCATTTTCACAACATGCGTGGCGCGATTCTTGAAACTAAACTAACTTGACGTTACCTTATCACAGCTGATGTCCCTGAGTAGATGCGCTCGACAAATAATTTGTCAAACCATCTCTCTCTCCCTTTGGAACTCACGAAAGAACTGCAAGATAATTTTCAACCGCTCAAATTGTGCTGTTTTTTTTTTTCGCGCTCCTCCTGAGCGAGCAGACGGCAAAAAAATGGCTGTAATGCGCTGCGTTCCTACGGCACACGGCCTTCCCATCCCGCACGAAACCTGGGCACGCAAACGCGCTTTGAAACGTTATGCTACTTACGGAAAGCTCGGGGTGTTTAGGATCCTTATGTGACGCTGCACGGATTATTCCAGCCCTCCAATCCAAATCTGATGTCTTGGAAAGTCTGCCTTTGCCCGCACTGTTAACACACAAAAATCTTTTGCCCACAATCTCCTCCCGATACTTGTAGGCCATCGCACATATTAAGTATCCAACCTCTGGCTACAGGAGCCTAGAGTGCACACTTGAAAACTGCGTGGACTGGACGAAAACACTACCACGTCCCCAAAGGCGAACGAATAATACGAGAGTTGAAAGGTCGCCACGTAAGTCTCAGTACGCCTGCGCGACCTCGGAGGGAGGAAGAAGAAGAAAAATCTGTGCGAAGCCACGTGACATAGCGGCGCTTCGCCATTGGTACACGCGTGTGCCCCGCGTCCAATGGAAAGCCGCCAGACGCAGGGCTCAGCCAATGGCGGCATCTGCGCTTGAAAGTGGCGCGTTGCCTCCAGCTACGCTGTCAGCAGCCCAGGGGTTCGTGTTCTGACGTAGCGCAGCCGACGCTCTGTTTGAAAATCGTGGATGGTATTGTTTGAACTTTGGAACGATTTCTGGGAGGCTTCCAACTGGACCAAGACCCACATGGTTTGGAATGTATGCAGAATGATCTCCACCGTCCTATCTCGGCTGATCATGTGAGTGTAACGACAGATATCCTTCATTGTTGTCGTGTGGCAGTTCGATTAATGGAAGACGAAGATTCATGTTTATGCCGTCTATTTGCTAAGAACTAATCGCTGTGCCCGTTGCCTTTAATGCTGCTGTTTACTACTACTACTACCATGTCTTCCTTGCATTCAAAGCATATTTTTAACGTTTGCGTAAAGAACGTTGCTTGCAGCTATTGCCCGTTCTGTGTAGGCGCCATAAATCGCCGCCCGTCGCGTGTGGTAGCTATATTTATTACCGATCTGAATCAACTCGTTGAAATCAATCATAGACAGCTCTTCTCGGGGCCCGCTAGCTGTTAATGTTCGACCGTGTGGTCACTGTTCTTTAGCGTGGGATCGTATTACGTCATTCTCTGCCGCTGACGGAGTCGTGGCGTAGCACCTCTATTATTCGCCATCCTCAGAGGTGGGAACAGCCGTTATATGTTCCCTATAATGTGGAGTTACTTTTTTATGCCTGACCACTGCATGTCCAAGCCCTGACTGCGCCACGAACAGCGTCCTCGGCGTGTCATTGTTGTCGGGCAGCAGGTGTTCTGAAGCCAGGCCAGTTGTTTGTTCCTATTGTGTGACTGCATTGTGTTCCAGTTTTCGGCGCATGGCCTTGTCTGGACATACATACTCACTACATTTCCTCTGCGCAAAAAAAAAAAGAGGACGTTTCATAGGTTTTGTTGGAGAAACGGCCGGTTTCCTCGCGTTATCATATATATTCGGCAACCCATCCACCTAGCCGTTCTGTATGTGGACATTTTGACTATGCAATAGTGTTGTACGTAAACGCTATCCTTCCCGATTTTCATCTCGTAGGCACTTGTGCCAATCGCTTTGAATTGGAGGAAGTTCTGAACAAAATCAGTCGGTCGAAAAAAACGAAGTTTGAACAACATTACGGTACGCAGGTCGCTCACCTTTCATTTGTTCTACACATTAACAATACGTCTACCTTTGCCACTGCTGCCCTGGACGCGTTTTATAGCGAAATTCTCCGCGTGTTGTTGAAGAAGTCTTGGTTATAATAATGCGGAGAACTTAATTATGTTCCTAGAGTTGATGTGTAATGTCAACATTATGACGTGAAGAAGCGCCACTTCTGAGAGGGACAAGTACTTTAATAATAATTTGAGAAGCTGTACTACAGGCGTTACGCAAGGCGTGCTACTGCCGCCGTCCAGCTGATTTTGTCGAAGTTGAGCGGAGCGTTGTCATCTACACGTTGGCAGCCGCCCCACATTTGGGTGAACGGTGCCATCTGACAGGCGGGCATTGTTTCAGCAGAAGCTACTTGATGGAGTGAGAGCTGCATGGTAGAGCGCGTGTCAGCGGCAGGGGTCTGACCCCCCACCCACCTTTCTAGAGAGCTGTTGCTGCCTGTGTGCCTCGGAGAGGAGGGAACAACTCCACTTCCTGCTGGGAGGGGAGTCCGTTTATTTTGGTTAGAGCCGACGATTATTTTGGGGCTTTGGGAGCAGGAGCTTGCTCTCTGTGTAGAGATGCACCCTTCCTTGCTAGGGAATGTTCAGCTCTGATTCTATGTCCAGCAGCAGCCGTGCTGTGTGCTTCATGCTTTTGCAGCTCTGACTTGGATTGTGTTGCGTGGTGTTTTGCAATGTTCTGCTACAGTGTCATTGTGTGAGTGATCTTGGAACTGCCCGTCCACAAATGCAGAATCCTTGGATTGGTGCATCTTTGCAGCTGACACGCGGCCGCTTGTGTCTTCTGTCGATGTTTTGCTGTTGTTGCTTCCCTGTGCTGGCTCATTGTTTCTATCGTCTCTTCAGCTTGCTCTTCGGCGTGCTGTACCCTGCGTATGCATCCTACAAGGCTGTCAAGAACAAGGATGTCAGGGCCCATGTAAGTGCAGAGCTTTTACCTACATGCTTCGTGGATGCTTATGCACTTGACCTTGCTTTGCAGCTACAGTGGATGATGTATTGGATAGTCTTTGCTTTCTTCACCTGCATCGAGACAGTTTCTGACATCTTCATTTCATTTTGGTAAGTAGGCTGAACCAACATCGCACTCACCTGTTGCAGTGTTTGCTTGTGAGATGAGACCATTACAATAGTGCTGGAACTTTTGGCATCTATGGAACTGGTGAAACATATTCCTTTGAAGTTAAATTTCTGCCTGTTTTGTATTGAAACGGGTTGGCTCAGTCATTTGGGTGCATTCAGGGGTTTTGCAAGTAAAACAAATAACAAACAAGGAGTAGATGCAAAACAGTCAATGATAATATTGATCTCTATGTATGTATTTAATCGCAAGGTTATTAGAAATGTTATTATTGATCTCAAAATTATTGTTAGTGTGCTTCTGTAAGTACCATTTACATTTATAAATACCAACAAACTGCTTTTTTATCCTGAACAGGCGAATGAAGCCGAGATTGATCACTGGAAGATGTACGAAGCATGTGCAATACTAAAGTGGTTAGTTGCGCATCTTGGTACATAATTACGAGATACTGCTGCATAATAAATCAAGAAACGAAACAAAAATGACTTGCAAATATGTACCAGCATGCCCAACTCACCTCTTTAATCCACTTCATTTCTAGTACAAGTGCCTTTTCTATTCCTCTAATTTGTCCAACCTGTGTGCCATCGTCTCTCGTACCACTGTCACGGTATGCCATGCACGAGAATGTCCTTTGATCTCTGCACAAAGCTCACCGCTTATCCTTGTTGTTTTCGTTCTGTCTGTGTATTTTTTGCACTGCAGCATCTTGTAAGCATGTGCAAGATACCATCATAGTTTGCTCCTTCTGGAGTGTGGAACTGTTCTGAATGAGCTGTGAAGCACATCAGATGGAGAACAGTGACAAAAGGCATGACAAACTGACAGAGGACAAACTGCCATCAGCACTATGGAGAGTTTTAGAAAATTGTATGATTTCATGGCGGACTACCTTGATGCCAAAGAGACCATTCCTGCCTATAATGATCAAGAGGAACCCAAAACACAGTGTAAACGATACATCTCAGCCTTTGAAATGCAGCCAGCTGGGATATTGCTAGATAAAAGTGTTAGTGATATGAACATGCTGCTTGATTCTCACACTTGCCAGAAGAGGTTATGCTATGAAGAGAAGGAAGAAGCAAAGCAGGTGTTCATGAAAGTAGACATTTGCTGGTTGCACTTGCGATGCACATACCTGGCTTGCTTTTTATGACTATGCATGCTGCAGGAACCCATAGACAACTGACCGGAATTACACCCAAGATATGCACATAGTCACTTGGAAGTAGAGTTTCTCTGAAGCATTTAAGAACCTTTAAAAACCTAGCATAATGCTATATTTTGCAAAAGGGAGGAACTAACCACTACAGACTGTGTATCAGAAAAAGGTAATTTAACTTATATATTCAAGCCACAGTTTTCAGAATCATCCTATTTCACTATGATTTTATGCGGTTTGAAAAGAGTCCCACAGGAAAACTGTAGCCAACAGGCCAATCTCAATGAATCATTTGTTTCACCAACTGATGTCAGCTACGTCTCAATATTTTGATGTGCCATTAAAGGGGTATTGAACCACTTTTCTCTGTAATTAATGAATGGCTTCAGTATCGCAGTTTGCTTTATGAATCCATTGCCAGCAAAATTTCCCGAATCCGTCAAGAGTGAAATGAGTTACAGGGGTTTAGGGGCTTTCTCTCTCGACCCGACCAGTGCGCTGGAAGGTACACAGGGAGGGATGGCACGTGGGTTAAAAAGTTGCGTCATGACCTTGAGTGCACTTGATAAAATGCAATTGATCTCTCCCATTGTTATTTTTGTACACAACTGAGGCTCGCTGTGTAATGTTTGCAGATTATGAGTGTTGAGCTCGCACAAAGCGATACCTTGTGGCAAGGAGCACATTGGATCTGAACACTGCTCTTGATTCATGGTTATAGGCCTATGGCTATCTGCTGTTCTTTGTCAAACCGCATGTTCTGGCAGGTCCAAAGAGAGTGAGCACAGGCCTCTGTATTGAAAGAAGGTGCCTCAGAATCATGCAACTTTACGCTCCGCTTCTAAACTGTCTTTGTCGTTCGGGACTGCAAGATTTAGCTGCACTCTTCATAGCAGTGTGAGCATTGTATGGGATGTGTTTTTCACACAGACAGTTGGGCGAGTTGGTGTGAGTTCATGGTTAAGAACAGCCCTCCCCCCCCAAAACACGAGACACAAAATGATGAGAACACGAGGACGGGCGCCCGTCCTCGTGTTGTCATCATTTTGTGTCTCGTGTTTTTTGCGCCGTTCTTAATTATTTGTTTTTACACTTAGCTTGAAGGGTGGCTCGTGACCCCGTTAAGGGAGGTTGAAAGTCACAGCTCTAGATCTAACAAACATGAGGGTCAGTACTTTCTAACTAGCTGTGCCTCACAAAGTTGAGGCCCCATAGAACTTTGTAAATAAGTCAGTATTGTGACCAGCTGAAACATATCAGCCTTCATTAAGTCTCATAGTAAACACAATGCACTTTACACTGGGTTCTGGGAAGCCTACTCATGTGGACAGCTGTAATGTTTCGTTTTGTAAGATGAGACACAGTTGGTATTTGATGTCAAGTGGGCATGAAACACTAGCCCCTTGGTTAGAGCAGTGTAAAGAACTGCCTCAATGGCTTTTGAATTTGTCAACATCAAAGTTGTCGCTTTTTTGTAGCTTTGAAGGCATGAATTTATGATACACAGCAGTCACAAATCATCATCTGCTAGCTGTCCACCTTCCCGGTTTTTCTTCTTTGAACTGGCCTGACTGGCACGCTTTCTGTACTTTGTCAGCTCATGCATTCATTGATTGTCTCTCCGAGGAATCTAATATGTTTGATTACCCCTGTTAATCAACAATTTCTGGTTAATCAGCTATTAACCCTGTTAATCAGTCATTTCAATAGAGCATAAGCAGTTATTATTACAAGCTATCTGGATTATTAGCCTACATTGGCTAGTGTTTGGTTCATATCGAAGTACATAAAAACAGATGAACAGAACATATATATTTACACACAGACGTGCACATATATATGCATATTGACATATACATGCATACACACACACATACACACAAACTACTATACATATCTACACAAGTAACATTTAAAAAATGATTACATTGCATATAACTTAAATTTCTTGGACAGCCCAGTTCATAGTCAGAATATTGACGTTTGAAAAACGTTTACTCAACATGAAAATAAACATTCTTTGTAATAACTGATGGGCATTGAACTATCTGTGTGAGATGCGTCATCAAGGGCCCAAACAGAAGAAAGCCACCATGTGCCTAGAATGTGGCATTGAAGTTTCCTCACTTAATGTGCACTGGGCCATATCCCAAAGCCACGCGAGTGGTCAAGGTGTCATTTCAGTTTTGCAACAGCACAGTTGTCTGGGAAAAAAAAAAAAAAAAAAAAAGCCGTGTAGCCTTATTCATGAAAGGGAACTTGAGCTATGACAGGAATTTCAAGGTGTGCTAAGAAGTATTGTCAGGCCCCTTGACCTTGCCTTTTGCATCTTCTATTATCACTGTGCCAGGGGAAGATTTATCATTCTGAATATGCTTTTATCATTCATATATATGTGCAATCATTGCAATGTATGGTAACTTTTGCAAAAGGCACTGGTGGTGCTTGCCACTAAATGAAAACAAAAAACTTAAATTTAATGGCAGTTATGATTTTGCAGGAAAAATTCTTGGTTTTGATTAAAAATGATAATTCACTCGTTATGTAAATAAAGTGCTAGTGAATAGCATGGCTCTTCCGACCAGCCATAGGTAGAAAAAAAATGGAGCTCACTTAGACTCAATAAGTATCTTACTTGATACTTTGACTTGGATTACTTTGACTCGGACTAACCACAATTTGTCTCAGTGGGGCTCATTCGGACTCATATTCGCTAAACCTTTACTTCAGACAGACTCACTTGAAATCACACTCACCAACATCTTACTCAGTCGCACTTACTCAGACACAGCTTCACCTGAGTCTGGGTGAGTCGACTCATCAGTCTATGTGTGTTGAATTAGCTTTTTCGATCATGGTGTCAGTGTACTTTAATGCCAATATCTCAAATCATTGGTACTCTACGACACACCTTTTTTTTTAGTCTTATATCTTCAAATACTAGCTATCAATTGTTGAAATCCTTGAAGGACATTATTTTATCATTAAATGTGCAACTCTCGCGAGATATATTTATCAGCAACTTCCTGTGAAAGAGTTCGCGAGAGAGGTCATAGTCATGGCCCATAATTCACGCCTCTGATGACTAATACTGAGGGCGTGCATGAACACGAGCTTGCTGAGATATGTGGGGATACAGTCCATCCCGGATATATCAAACTCTGATACATCGAATTAGAGGCTATATCGAACCGTTTTGAAGTTCTCTTAAATATTCTACGCAAAAGTACGAGACTGGTACACATATACATTAAACTTCCCATAGCGGAACGTCTGCTGTATTAAATGCCGTGCCATGCCGAAGCCCAGAAATAAATTCTTTCTAGCAAATATTAATCACTTTTCGACCACATTCTAGCAAGTTCTGATCTCTCTTCGCGTGGTGGTGAGGAAAAGGCGGTGTTATTTCATTGCGTTGATGTGCTTCGCTGCACAGCACTTGCGAGTGCACCCGTATGTTGGATGTGCGATCTGTAGGTTTTAAAAGAGTACTGACATGCTTTTGACATGTCGGGAAAGGGACGTTTTTGGTTCCTTGGGTATGCAGCTTAGCGTTAACATTATCTGCACACCAGTCAGACAACAGAGATAAATTACTTTACTTTAACTTCAAAGTTTTCTTCGCTATGCATTAGCAAGCCAGCCTTGTCAACACAGTTCCACTGAGCTTGTCAAGTCTGCGTCCTGCGTGCAGCCTAAATCGCAAAAATCTTTGCCGGATTCACGGAGCAGGACATCAATTTACTTGTTGTTTACGTGCATCGTGAGCAAATGACTGGTTGGCCTCTAGTAAGTGGTGAGTTGCTGTTTCCCCACGATGTCACACTGCCATGAAACATCACTGAGAAGCCGCCTCATCGGTATTGAAAACCTAAGGGAGCGGTATTACAAGTACATTGGTACATTTCCAGGTGACACAGTAGTATTTTTAGGGTTCTCTACACCAGTGCTTGCATTTAAAGCAACAATGCAAAAATATTTAAAATTGGGGTAATACTCCTTTAGCGCGGGCAGAGTGTTTTTCGAAAAGACGGATTCCCGAGCGCACCATAATGAGAATGCGAAGTGACTCTGCGATCTCGTTGCAATGTTCGCATTCCCGTGTTTGTCTGATATTATAGATCTACTGTGGACTTCACTACACATATATGCCGATATAAGGCTGATAGTAATGTTGAAGGTGAGTGTAGATTGGCAGTGAAAAGCGGGGCTCACTCAGACTCATTCAATAAATACATTTTGCGCATAGGGCTCACTCGGACTTAGACTCAGCAACATTTTCCTCAACCGGACTTGCTTAGGCTAAGATTCGTGGGCCAATTTGAAACTGAGTGAGCCTGACTGCATTGACTCATGATTTCGTTTGCCAAACTGTGTCACCAACATCTTCACTTGTGTATACATCATTGATTGTAAAATTGTGTGAAGTTTTGGTATTGCATAACATATATGTAGTCTGATAGACCTTGTCGGGAAAACGTTCATTATCATGGGCCGTGCTTGCAATGTCAACATGCTATTTCTGTTTTGTATTTTCAGGATGCCATTTTACTATGAGTTCAAGATCTTGTTTGTTCTATGGCTCCTGTCACCTGCAACCAAAGGATCCAGTATCCTGTACCGACGTTTTGTTCATCCACAGCTTGTTGAACGCGAGCAGGTGTGTTCCAAACACGGTTGCATCCAGGTTTTGTAAGCTCACCTCGTTGCCCCGCCGCGGTGGTCGAGTGGCTAAGGTACTCGGCTGCTGACCCGCAGGTTGTGGGATCGATTTCCGGATGCGACGGCTGCATTGCCAATGAAGGAAATGCAGCCGCCAAATGGTCGAAATTTCCGGAGCCCTCCACTATGGCGTCTCTCATAATCATATGGTGGTTTTGGGACGTTAAACCCCACAAATCAATCAAATAAGCTCACCTCGTTTACGTGACATTGAAGGGAGGTTAATTAATTCATTCAGAAAGAGTGGTGTATCCTTAAAATACACATGTCGGGTTGTACCTGTATTGTTTACCTATTTCGTGCCACTGCAGACAATTTAGGACCTGAGAGGCACATAAAGATACAGGAAGTCTGCACAATCTCATTGAAAATATCATCATAAAAGCAGTGTATTGATTATACAAACATTTCTGGAAGGAAATCTAAAAAAAAAATTATTTTTTGGGTATCAGCATATTAGCAACACCAAATCTACACCATGTTTGCCAAGAGAAGGCGCTTTGTAAGCTAGAAAATGCGGGTGGCGATGGCAGCTTAAAGTTCCCGAACTAATGACATACGTTGTACATTTTGACAGCGTCCCTTAAGGTTTTCAAAGTACCTAATCGTTAAAAGTAAATACATTGATCTCTGAGGGGGCCAGAGACGAGATGCCAAGTTTGAGAAAATTTAGTTGACCTAGTGGGGTTAAAATAGTAAAAGTGCACTTAGAAGTTTCTGATGTCAGGCACAAATTTTGGCACAAAATTTTTGAAATTAAACTTTGACCTTCACTTTCTTCTGTCTTGATAAACCTATGATGGTGAAATCTAAACCACATCATTGTTTCACTTCGGTGTCCCTTGAACCCGTAGTTTGCGGGATCGATTCCCGGCCGCGGCGGCTGCATTTTTGATGGAGGCGAAAATGCTGTGGGCTCGTGTGCTCAGATTTGGGTGCACTTAGGGAATCCCAGGTGGTCGAAACTTCCGGAGCCCTTCACTATGATGTGTCTCATAATCATATGGTGGTTTTGGGACGTTAAACCCCAAATATTAATCAGTGTCCCTTGAACCCTTTCGATGTCAGCTGTTTCTCTGGTCATGGCACGCCTCCAGGGTTTCTTTGGTTTTGAGAATATTAGAAAAGCTTGAAAAATGCAGATATGGCTTATCGTGAAGTTGTGACAGATAAGGAAGAAAGGGGATAGAACAGCCTTGTTTGCTATCGATGGCATCAGGCAAGGCAGGAATGAAAGTGAAAGCAGTCATTAAGCCATGTTTTTGTTTATTGGAGAGGCAATGGCGAGCACTGCTGGGCACCATTGCACCCCTAATTTCACGCACGGAGTGTAGTTTCTTCACCTGTGAAAGTAGCTCGTGCATATAGAGTGGTCATGTGCTCCAGCAAGGATTAGGTAATATTATCAGGGGTTTTACATCCCAAAACCACCCCAGCAAAGAAGGGTGGGCACAGTCACTTTGTGCTCTTGAATGTACGTACCCACAGAGCGAGGAGTGAAAATATGTATGTTTCTAGCTAGATTCGAGAGATGGCACAACCAGTAGAATCATGCAAAGCACACCAGTTTTATGCCTCGGCTTCACTTATGGAATGCAGATTGAAGAATGGGCCGGTACATCGGATGTGGTACATAGAACGGCTTTTTTAAATTTCTTGATTTGTTTTGATGAAACTTGGTGAGCCTTTGTATATTTGGGTGTCTATTTCATGTATGCAATTATTTTTTTAGTACAATGTATAGTTTTTAAAATGTAAAATATTTCATGGGCCTTTTGAGGAGCAAGTTTTTTGTTAAACTTAGAGAGCAACAATGTGAATCAGAATGCTACAATAATCTCAGAACGGTGTGCAGTGCAACAAAAATAGATGTTCTAAACACAGTGGGAAAAAAAAAAGTTAGGGTATGTTGAACATTTGCAAGTGAAATCCCAGCTTGAAATTTACTTTCTCGCAAATGTTCAACATACCATAAATTTTGTTTTAATAGATTCAGAACACCTGTTTTTGTCACACTGCACAGAGTTCTGATTTTAGATTATTGTGACATGCTGGTTCACTTTTTAGCTCTCTCAGTTCTGTGAAAAATCTTGTTCCCAGAAGGCTCGTGAGATATTCTGTATTTTAAAAACTACACATTGTGTAAAAAAAAAATTGCATTTATGAAATTTGAACTCAAAATCCACAAAGTCACCACGTTTTATTTCCAATGCCTTTTGCGAATTCTTGGAGGTAACACACCTCCCCGTGAGCATGTATCCTCATTGCACGAAATTCCAAGCGGAGGTTCAAAAATGTACTCGAACGGCGCAGACATTGCAGGACGTAAAACCCCTGGCGCACATGTATGGCAAGGACACTGAAAGGGTTTAAGCTCGTCGCATGACTGTAGGTACTGTGCCTTAGTTACACACCATGCGAAAGTGCATGGCCTGGAGCCTCTGTCTTAAGCCAGAGTCGCTAAAACGCTGCATTGACACACTATACCCTTAAGTGGGGCTGTGTACAATTGTACACACCATCTTTGGAGGCGCATCACACACTGCATATCTCTTTAAATAGCTCGAAACTCAATGTGCACATATGTACAGGCTTCCTGAGTGAACATCTGGTGGTCATTTAACTTTATTCTGCTGTGTAGTACTGCAACAGGTCGCTTTGCTGGAGACACTACCACATTCGACGATGGCCTGACAGTTCGATCGGGGACACTCCTTAAAATGTGTGCAATTCCGGCCGTGGCGGTCGCATTATATTGGAGGCAAAACGGGAGAGGCCCGTGGTCTGTGCGATGTCAGTGCACATTAACACCAGGTTGTCCAAATTTCCGGAGCCCTCCATTACGCCGTCTCTCATAATCATATGGTGGTTTTGGGCTTATAAAACCCCAGATATTATTACTACAATGGTCCAATGTGTTGTGCATCAGGGCCACCGCGAAGAGTATTGTATTTTTTTTTTGCTCGAAGTGAATGCAAACTGGTAGTGAATTTTCAACCTGATATTTAATTATCTTTATGCAAAACTATAACTGACTGATTGCAGAATGATTAGATATATAATTATATGCGAATTAACATTACTTCGGGAAACTTGCAAAAATGGCACATTCCTCAATTTTTTTTCATTGTCTTTTTTTTTTCTTTTTGGAAAGTAATACTGAATGCATTGGAATCATGCCATGCGAATTTGACGCATTTCCAAACACTACATCTTAATTCATGCCTGAAGAGCCTATTTAGTATCCTCATGTTTGAGTCAATGACAAGTGACTTTTACAATGTGCTCGAACTAGGAATTGGTGCTCGCGCTTAAATGATTCTGGCGAATAAAGGATACAGTGAGAAATAAACAGCACTCTCGAAAGTTGCGCTCACTTATCCTGTTACAATGCATATGCAGCCGAGCAAGGCCAAATGTTTCTCGAAATTTGTGTTAGGCATGCTTATAAGCAGTTAAACTTACGCTAGCATAATGGATTAAACCCCCCTCTGAGGACGTGCATGACGTATGGGCACATGCAAACAAGATGTGGCTAGCAGAGGACACGGGAAGCAATTCACACAAGGCATGCTTTAGCGAGTAGCCGCCAGGCAGCGACTCTGCCGATAAGACTGACAACAGATTTTAGAGACACCTGTTTGTTCTGAAGTGCAACAAAATGCTTAGGTTTTTGTAGTGTGGAATTTGCAGCTTTAATGCGGAAAACAAAGTGGAATGCCTAGTAATCAAATTTTTAAAAATCTGTTAGAGTGAAGCCATGGGCTCGAGACAGTGCTATGTGGGCATAATATCAGCGATGTACCAGTATTGGTGGACAGCAAAAAGATGCTGCCTTAGCTTACTAAAGTCTAAATCTGATTTTGAAGTAATGTTTCTGTACTTGATGTTATCCTCAGTCTTGAATTTTATATAAACTACAAAGTTCAAGGTACTCCCTTGTGAACTTCTGTATGAGGAAAAGTACTCATGTGTGCCACCATGCAAAATGAAGCCGCAGCTTGCTACTAACTAGTCTTTCATTCTGCTTGTTACTCCAGAAACAGGGTCACTTGTATGCATGAACCTTGTTATATCCATTAATTAAATCAACAAATGCCTATGTAGTAAATAACTGCAATTTTACACGGGGAAATATGGGGCATAAGATAACAGCTGTATACATATGCACGGCCAGTTTTGATGCATTCGTTCTATTAGTGCCAAAGCTTTGTAAGCAAAATAAAGAATGGTGTTATGTAGCATTCTTAGCAATCTTCCGCGGAAATTTCCTAATGTAGTTTCTAGTTAAATTGTTAAGTGCATGCTTGATTCTATTACTCTAATTTTGGTCTTTTCGTTAATACCAACATGTCGTGACACATTTCAAGCATTTGTTGGTTCTTGTAGTGCATAGGACTGCACCGAAGGAAGGACATAGCAGTGCTTGCATTTTCTGATGAGTGATGATTTATTCGTGTTAGTGTTCAGTAATTCATGTTGCTCAATTTTACCCTCTACTGTAGAAGCTTCTAGAGCACTCAATAAAAGATACATATTTTGCAGCCAATACATGCACTTTCAGTTTAATGCAGCTTATTGATATTCATGGCAATGAATTTCATTATAGACAGTTTAATCATATAAATATGAACACCAAAAACTTTTGCAGTGAGTTCTCTCTCTTATGCAGGTGATTACTGCATATCTCAATCAACAGCAAAATGGACTGTAAACATTGTAGTCATTGTGCTTGCTGCTGCTGTAATGGAAACTACTAAGTAGTTACTACACTGTCTTTTTTTGCAGGAAATAGATGAACTGATCGAGAAGGCGAAGGAGCAAGGCTACGCTACCATGTTGCTTCTGGGCAGCCGTGGTCTGAGTTATGCCACCAGCGTGGTGCTCCAAACAGCCATCAAAGTAGGCATATATTTGTTTCATGCTTGCAACGTGCTACCATAGAACACTGCTGTTTCACAAGATTGTGCTTGTTGGAGGCTTGACTTACCCTCAATTCCACTTTGCTATTGACTGAAGCCACACTTTTCATGGCAGTGTAAGGCACTATCAGCGTCAAATGAAGCCCGAACAGCCGCAAGCCTTTGCAATGGTATTGTGGGCGCCGTTCATTTATCACAATTGACAGGCGCGCGCATACTGTTCGGAAGCTCCGAGCATGTATCCATGCCTGCCTATGGTGATAAGTGGACGGCGTGCGCTATACCATCATGAAGGCTTAGCGCTGTTCGAGTTGTATTTGATGCAGAGAGTACGTCAAACAAGTAAATGCCTTGTATATAAGTGATATTCATATTGAGTGTACTTGGAGGCATTGGCAAGGAAAAAGATCTTCAAAAACAAACTACCAAACAAAGGCAGTGCCTCCAGTGGGTCAACAAAAGTGCTTTGGCAAATTTCGATACAAATTAATTTTATAGGAAGTGCGTGCCATGACTCTTAAGAGACATGCTTCTAGAAAAAAATGTATAAATGCCTTGATATTCGAGCAGTGGGTATACCCTGCTCTCTTTCATCCTCCATCTTCACGCTGCAATAGTACACTCACCCCTCAAGTGCTACAGAGGAGGGGAAAGAAGGTGCCTTAGCTGATGGGGTAAATATAGGTATAGTTTTTTGTAGCATAGAGCAGTATATTTTCGGCAAAACAGTGTGCTGCTCCTGCTTCGCCCAGGAAATGGCTATGGAGACTAGGACCCAGTATGTGCAATGCGAGCAGTACATCCTCTTGGCTTCTTTTTATTCCTTCTTTTTTTTCCGAGTGTCATTACGGCAATGGCTTGTGCAATGTAGGTCATAATAAAAATAGTAGCCGGAATAATCAGCCTGGTATTCGACTTCATCACCTCGCGAATCGATTGCTCCAAAAGCTTCTCATATGCATCCAGAACGACTGGAGTTACAGGATTTGTTCCATGCTTTAAGCACATGCTCTCTTCTCATGTTTCAAGAAGCGCACAGGAAGGGATCAGGTGAAGAAAAGAAGCTGTGTTAGCGCTCCCTCTCTTTTGTTGCGATTCCTGTGCACACTAATGTTCCTACTGTGTAATTTGAGCTCCCGTAGTGCACGGTGCCAGCTTATGGGGACACCCTGGGGCATGATGCACATCTCAGCGATATGCTGTTTCTGATTTATGTTGGCTGTCAACCAATAGCAGCAATCTGCTGCTTGACGACATACAGCTAGTGAGCTGTCCACAAAAGGAGTGAGGGTGAGGCCTCTAATGAAGAGGGGGCATTTTACAAAGTGGCAACCTAAAGCTCCACTTGTAAACTCTGCATGTAGTGAAAGACGTTCATGTATGTCATCCTGAACAGCCACAATACTGTCAGCCATGTACATGTACGTCATTGCCTGTATGTTTAAAACAATACAGGCTTTTTTAGTCATTTTTTTTTGGTTATCATGCACTGCCACATTGCAGGAATATGTGGTGTTCTTTCTAGTGCCGATTCCTCCCCATTTCTTTTTTTATGCTTCTACTACAGCAGCGTGTCGACTAGTTTCGGTTTCGTCCTTCGGCCGTTTCCTGCTTATTGCACACCTAAAGCTGTTGGCTTTCTGGTTTAGAATCTCCCAAAGGTGATCAATTTGCTACTATCTCGTTTATTGCTCCTGTGTACGTGATTATGCCTATTCCCGTGCCGGCGCTGACTGACAACAGCACGTTAAAGAACAGCAGGTGTTTGAAATTTCCGAAGCCCTTCTTTACGGCATCTCTAATAATCTATGGTGGTTTTGGGATGTTAAACCATATCAATTAAATCAATCAATGACTGACAACAAATGATGCCACTGTTGTTGCAATTCCTGTTTCAGAGACCCGCATAACTGGTTCTCGTATATGTATTAGTTATAAGGCAAGTGTTTATGATCTGTTTCAAACTTGCTTTTGCCTTGTAGATGCACTGACAACTACCGTATTTACTCGCGTAATGAACACACTTTTTTCTCGAAAAATCAGAGCAAAGTTGGGGCCTTCATTTATTATGTGGAGTAAATTTTATGAAAGCTTTTTCGGGGGGGGGGAGCAAAAAATGCAGTAATACAAAAAAAAAAGTTAGGTCACTTAGCCTTTCACAATTGACATACTGCGTACACCTGTTTGGAAATAGCTTCTTTGTTGCACTTTATTCATCTTCGCTGGTTGATGGCTCTATCTTCTGCAAGCTGTCTCCGGGCCGCCCGCGCATGCCATAAAAGCGTTTTGCCACTATCTTCTCTCGCAATCGTTTAACCACAACAGTGGTATCTGCTGTGATCTCGAGGGGCGTCCAAAAGTGTGCGCTATGACGCAATTCGCCAACTTCCCGGCAACCTCACACAACGACCGTGACGCCGTCGTTAACATTGTAGCAAGTAACCAACATTAGAGCAAGCTACCCCTAAAGCATCAAAACAAACCGTCGATAACAAGATTAACGACAAAGTATGGCCGCCTTCTTGCTTCTACATGAGAAGTTCTTTTACGCGCAAATAACAAGCGAAGCGTGAAACGGGGGATTTTTTTCTGGTTTTCCAGAAACCTTCGCGACCGCAAATCCTGTCGTTGTCGCTCGAAAATCGCATGCACTTGGTTGGGCTTTTTGAAACTGCCCGCGTTTAGTGACCTTCGCTCGCTGTGTGCTTGTCAGCTGCGTTGTCTCTACACTCGCACTGTTTGTGAACCCCACTGTGGCGCACAGATAAGACGGGGGACGTGCTGTTCACAGATAGAAAGAAAAGCAATACGGCATGCAACAACGGGCGAGGGGGGGGGGGGGGCGAGCAGAGGTAGGTCGGCAAAATAAAAAAACGGAAGAAATCCAACGGGTGAGAAGGCACCAGGTGTTGGTTAACGGGACTGCAGCGGATGAATGTAGGGGGTGTGTTTATTAAGCGGGAAAAAAACCAAAATTTTGATGACTGAAGTTTAGGGTGCGTTTATTATGCCAGTGCCTTCATTAAGCGAGTGAATACGTTACTCAACTTTCTTCAGTGCTTTCACCCGCGCAGTTTGGATGCACATTGGAAGTGTGCACCAGTTTCTTGGCTGTAGCAGTCAATGTAATGGCGATTTGGATTGTCACTGAATTGGCTAATAAGAAATTATATTCAGTAAATGTCAGGCTGTCTTATGCGGTGTTTTGTACGAGTCAAGATCCAGATGTTGATGAGTGAGCGACTTTTCCTAAGCGTGTGCGGTGAGACAATGCTGACTGGATAAAATGTGGCATTTTCCCCTTCATGTTTCCACTTGGTGCCCTTCGTGCACTTATTTTTGTAGGTGTATACCTTTATTGCAACTTAAATTTTGAAGAGTTGTACAGATTTTCTTTAGAACTTATCTTGCTATCACTCATGAAAAAACCATGTGGAGGTAACAACACAAATGATCTTTTTTTTTTACTTTATGGCCACCAAAGTAACTTTGACAATTTTTTTTTTCTTAAATAGATTGATCTGAAACACTTATCCAGAAATGAAAAGTACACATTTCTGACGTGCATGTAACATTTTGCTGCTCCATAAATTGCTCGAAATTTTATTTTGGCTGTTGCACCCCTGGTTGACTTATTTCGGGAGAACGATTTCAGCTCTCAATTATTTGTCTGAAGATGCGCAACTTCTTCACTGGACTGTGCTTGTATGAGAGGGAAATCTATGTTGACACTGATGCTCATTGGCACAGCAGGGCAGTGGTGGTATAAGGACGTAGTACAGGATTTATAAAAAGAACACTTTGTGTGGTCCCTCACTTTATGCAGTATCACACAGTCTGAAATCTTCCTTTAGTAAAGTATGCAGGCAAACACTTAGTTTTTTTCACTTTTTGTACCTTGTAAAGAGGGTTGTAGAGAGGGTTGCTTTTTGTACCTTTTTGAAGAGACGGTCGATTGTATTTAAATGCCTGTTGTTGGACTTCATTCTTCCTCCAGTGCCTCATTTTTCAATAATGGTTGACCGTTTCAATAAATAAGCAGTTTAAACATCCGCTACGTTTATCTTTAAACTTTCTATGAAAAAGCTTGGTTATTTTGATTTAGAATTAGGGATAACAGCTTGTCACAGACGGGGTTTGAGTGAACTAAGGGTAATAGCTATGGGGGGCAGAAAGGGTTGTCAGGTTGTCCCTGGCCAGATTGTGCTCACTTTTTTCTCGTACACCGAAGTACACTGAGGGAAGCTTCCCCCCACTGGATCAATTCAATCAATTCTAGATGTTTCAAGTATACCATAACACTATGGTATAAACCAGTGGTTCTCAAATGGGGATCCGTGGACCCTAGGGGGTCCGCAAAGCCGTTTGCATGATTTGCGAAACCCTCACCTACTTAAAGAAAAAAAAAAGTCGCGCTGAAACTCGGTTAAAGCGTGACTGCCCCACGTATTGAACTGTCCGAAATGAAGTGATGTGGCATGTTTGTTTCACGTTTTTGGAAGCAGTGAAAGGCACCTGTTTCATGCTCGAGTTGTGTTAATTTACCTACGTACCCGCCCCCTCCCCACCCCCTCTTTCATCTCCGCTGCAAGGAGTCCCCCATCATTTCCACCAGTCCACAAGGGGTCCCCGACACATCCATGGCCGAGAACCACTGGTATAAACAATAGCTATGTTGTATTTGGTTTCAGTTTCTTGGAAAGCCATCCTGTTATCTACATTTTCTGTATTTTCGTCAAGGGGGCTGCACAAGTGAGAGAAAATGTTAATAATTTTTTGTTGTCCAATTCTTTTCTTTAGGTTTCTTGCTTCTCTAGTTATGTGGGGCATAGGGCAAAGAATGCTGTTAGCTTGTTGTTTAAAGGGCTACTGGCACAAAATTTTGGGGCCGAGATAGCCTGCGGGGTCAATTCTTGTTAACATTTGTATATCATCTGCAAAATATCAACAGCGAATATAGCTTGGAAGGTATTTTAAATT